CAAAGATTATTTGCTAGATGCTGCAGCAAATGAAATTGAGAGCTTTTCTCACAGGAATATTACTAAACAATTATTGAAAGCAGTAAAGAGAACTGACTTAAACAAGCTTTTGAAGTTGCTGAGGGAAACACTGAAAATGCAAGTTCAGATAGCTAACAAGACCTCATCTCAGCAACAGATTACTAAAAAGCAAGATGATGTGATGAGAATTCACCACTCATTTTACATGTCTCCTGGTGAGCATGAGCATCTCAACGTTGACCAACAGAATTTTGTATCACAAATGCATCACAAGACCGATTGTAACACAACAAGCATACAGAAACTTCCTGGTAGTAACCTTGATCTTATGGGAGGTCTGCCCAAGTCTGACTATACTGATAACTTGACAAGGACCAACAGCCCTCATGTTCCCTTATTACATCTTCTCACCCTCAGAACACCAAGAGTCGTAAAATATTCCCAAGAAAGTGTTGCCATAATTGAACCTGGTAATTTGTCTCACAGAAGAGCTATCAAGATTGAACAGTCTAAACAGCGTTTATTTCCTCCTCCAAAACACACATTTATGAATGCCTTCACGGTACCTCGCACATTTAAAATTTACAAACATTTTGACCCCAAACTTTATTTAGAGCCACAAAAGAACCAGCAAGCACCAATACCTTCCGGCACTGATCAGGTCCACAACGGCTTTCAGAGTTCCCTCGACTTCTACAAATCAGTGTGCAGAACACTTATTAAGCCAGACATCCCTAAGACAGAAGTGATTAATTTCATTGCTCAGCAGTGCATCCTGATGTCATTTGGAGGTTTACTCAATTGAAATTTGAAAAAAAGCACTGAACAGATAATTGGTGTTATAAAACAATTATAACTCCATCATGAGAGCCTTTCCATGTGCCATTTCTTTGCAATAAAATTAACAAAGTTCGAATAATTATCATACGCATTACAAGACAAAGAACCCTGTCTCCAAGCCTGGACAGGGTAGGACGATTTCTCTATCCCTGCATTTCGTTGGTTCCTGTACACCCAGCTGGTGTTGAGGATTTTGAAGTAAACCAATTGGCAGATCCTGCACTTTGACTTATTGAAGTCGCCCTTAGGTCAACTATTGACCTATTCCAGGATGAAATCTATAGCAGTTAGCTAACTCTTGAGTACCCATTTTACTCGAGATGAAAGGAGGCAACAGGTGAAAGGAAACATGCCTAACTTTCTGTTCTGCCCAGGGATTGAACTTAGGTTCCTGTCATGAGCCGAGGCCATAGACCACTGTGCTACAGGTCTCATTTCTCCTGACAATCTTTAATCAAGTCATATTTGTTCTTGAAACTATAGGGATGGCTTCCATGACCTCTGTTTCATGTGCATTTTTTTTTTTTTTTTTAGCAGCAGCAGCACTGAATATGAATAATTTCTGGCATCATTCTGATTTATTGTTTCCAATTTCTTTGTTCCACTTTCCTTCACCTGTATGGGTAGGTGCACTCCATGCACATCTCATTTAGTGGAAAGAAACTAACCAGGAAATCCTAAATATCAATGCAATTACTTGCAAGTAATCAGCAATCAGACTTCAGTGTTGACACTTTAAACACTTAACTTGATTCATTCATTACAATATTTGCTTTAGTAAGCAAATAAGGCCCCCCTCCCATTGTCCTCATGATTTTGTCAAGCTGGATTTGGAAATTAAGAAGTGTTTTGACATTTATGGCTTCGGCAGGCAGGTGGTTCCATGGGTTTATAACTCTATAGGTGAAAAAACATGTTTTCAGTCCTACATTGTGGCTTGTTGAGCTTGAAACCATTGCTGCTTGTTTGTGTTACATCTGACCTTTTAAAGAAGTTGCTTGTATCAATATCCTTGAAATTGTTCAGTATTTTAAAAGGTTTGATGAGATCAACCTTGTCATGTCTGGTTTGCAGTGTTGTAAGTTCTGTGGCCTTCAACTGTTCCTGGTATGAGAGTCGTCTTAGTTCTGGAATGATTTTTGTTGCCTGGTGTTGAACTTTCTCCAAAGCAGATATGTCTTGCTCAAGATTCATTCTCTAAACTTTGATACAATAATGCACCAGATTTATATAGTTGAATTATCAAAAGCATAAAACCATTAATGGTTATATAGCACTAGTAATTATTATTTTATGTTTACACAAGTGGATACAGAAGATGAGTTCTAACTCTTGTTAGCAGCTTACAATTTTACCCTAAAATGGCTCTCCTTAAGCTTGTGATGGCTTTGGAAAAAGTCGCAAATCAATAATGGTTTGCTTACACTACAATGTTTGCTTACATTTCAGTGTTTTTTGCTTACACTCCAATGTTTGCTTACAAACAGTTTGTTTAATTTATTATGTTTCTGAATTGAATAATAATAATTAATGCTCTAATTTATTTATTATATTATTTATGTCATGTATTTAACATATTTTAAGTATAATGTACTGTGTGTATGTATGTATATATGAGGTGAGTACATACATACACACTGACTGTGTGTACTGTGAAGTACTGAATTTATTAAATCTGTTAACACACATTTAGAAATTTATTTTTTCAAATAGTTTATTTTGATACAAATGTTAATGTTTAATACAGTTTGCTTTAAAATCATAAATAAAAAAATCTTTAAATTTGTTATTTTCATCTTTTAACCCTTAAAGTGTGGTTATCATCATATGTTGATACCCAGTGTAATTAACCTTGGGTATCATATGTTAATTTTAGTTATCATCAAGTTTTTATACAAACGATGTAAATATGGTTATAATATATCTATGTAGATGTAATGGAGTTAACCTAGGCCTATGAAGAAATTGTCGTTTTTAATGGCATACTTTGTGATATGGTTTTTGTGTACTAGCAGCCGACAGTTATTGTCAAATCACAATTTGGTCTATCCTGCTAGTGCTTGAATATTTCTCAATGACATTTCCTTAGAGAATAGTAACAAAACAGTGGGTTGCAAGACACTTTGAACTGTGCCAGGAACCGATTTATGTGCAATATAGGTGTACATATTACATTGTAGGCCTATATACAGTACTCCATCACTGTTTTGAGCATATAAATAAAGTTTTTCAACAGACTGTAAGCTAAACAGCAAACATAAGCCAGTTATTTGAACAGCACAGCCTTCACCTCAGCGATGAGTCAGTACATGCATCTCTATGAGTCCACAGACAGGGCTTGATAGCTGAGTGGACAGCGCTTTGGACTTGTAATCCTAGGGTCTGGGTTCGATCCCCGGTGATGGTAGGAACAAATTGGCAGAATTTCTTTCACCCTGATGCCTCTATTACCTAGCAGTAAATAGGTACCTGGGAGTTAGATAGCTGTTACTGGCTGCTTCCTGGGGGAGTGTGGAGGGAAAAAAATTTAGCAGTTAGTAACAGTTGATTAAAATACCGTTGAGAAGCGGGCCAAAAGAGCAGAGCTCAACCCCCGCAAACACAACTAGGTGAATACAGACCCAGTGACTTTCCCACCCACCATCTTAAGGTGCACAAACATAAAGAGACAAAGATACTTTTTTTTTAATTTTCCTTTCTCTTTGCATACAAATGTACGGTATCATTTTATAAGAACAGGTAGAATGGCATGTTTCATGATAGATGCACACCATGGCTGGGTTAAAGAATAATAATTTTGAAGCTTAGCAAGTGTGTATGATACTGGAATATGGGAAGGTGTATGATTTGGATATAAGATACCTGTACAGTAATGTATGGCAAAAACATTTTCCTTTGCTTAGTGGAAATAGTCATGGTGAAATTGTGAAAGAACTGAAAGAAATTTGCTGAAGTTTGTATATACTGTATAGTACCGTATTACCAAATGCACTTGAAATGCCAAGTCCAGAATGCAACTTATACTATATAAACAAATATTCATCTGAACTTTGAGTTTGAATTACAAATCTGAGCTCACCTCTCAAAATAGTGATACTGGATGGAAAATGTTCTTTGATCTTTACAGGACTTGCCATTAGAGGACAGAACAGTTTGTCTTGTATCCTTTAGCCAGGAGAGGGGCTTCACAGGCTACAGCCAACTGCCCACCAGCTCATCAAAACACACAATCACCAACAAAATAATCTGGCAAGATTCAAGAAACAATGAACCAATATCAATTTAGTTTCTTAACATTAAAATTAAGTGCAAAATTTAAAAGGTAATATACTGAATAGTGTAGATTCCATCACACTGAGCCAATCTCCTGAGGAATACATAAGCAGTAGAAGGTGAATGCTGATAGAAATTAAAATAATAATCGTTTATTCAGGTAAAAGTACAGAGAAAATGAGTTACAAACAGAATGTTAGATTTCTAGATAAGAGCTATTACATACTATGCTTAAAGCCACTAGTACGCACAGCATTTCGGGCGTTTATCAACCACCCTACCCTCCCCACCCATCAACCAACCATATACCTCCTACCTATATTTACAACCAGAATGTCATCTCACCACTTTCCACTCTCTGCTCTCAATCCCACTGGCATCCAATCCTCTGTTCTCTTGCATATCATATTACCACTCTCCTCACTCATTTACCTCAGTCCATGTAATAATACTGACAGTTACAGTACTTTAATTAATTGGTATCAGCCTGTATATGTATATACATTAAGCTTTTATGGACATCCTCCCAAAGTTGAACTACTGACCCTCCCCAGGATGCAACTTCACAGCACTTGACTATCTCCCAGCAGGTACAGGTATCTTCTGCCAGTTGAATAGAGGTATTAAGTGAAAGGTGATGTGTCCAACCATTTCTGACCTGCCCAGGATTCGAACTCTGGATTCCCAATTTTAAGTCGAGTATGAACCTGATTCTACTTCCAAGTGACGAAAGAGAAACTATTGTATTACTGACCATCAAAAGTGAAGTACTGATTGTTTCTGCATTTACTTCATTACAGAATGGGTTAAAAATAGGAAGTGCAAATAATGTTCACATCACAAATAGTGTATATTAAAAACAATGGTTCAATCAATCAAGTTTAATATTTTGTACACGTGAGAATGAATATACACTGTATCTTAAACTAAGACATTACTATGAGGAAGCTACAGGTATATTATATTTTTTACCTATAGTGACAGTATGTATATTTTAACATGCAAACAAAAAAAAAAATCCAGAATTCTATATTCAATAGGTACAAACTTTCCTGCAATTTAATTTCCATTATTTACAATACCAATTTATTACAGCATATCCAATAAATAGTTTGCCTTTATGTTTCTACGACTATATAACTTCCAAAGCACTGTCTTTAGCTTAATATAATTGAGCATATGACTTGTAAAATATTACCTTAGATCCTAAAAAAAGACTGAATCAACAAGCTGCTGAAATATAGGTTGTAATCGTAAATAGAAATGCAGAGCAAACATCATGTTCTGAAAGCAGTATGCAATGTGTGAAGATTTTCCTATCTGTTTACAATCAAGTAAATACTGTGTAATAAACAAAAATCTCTTTGATGTACATTTAATATAACCTTTACTTTCCTGCTGTCACTGTTGTTCAAAAGAAAGGTACTATACAGATACATTTTTCAACATGTTATAGTGTGTATTTTTTACATCAGCCAACACTACAAGACACATGCAACGTATGTATTAGCACTTAATATGAATTCACTGATGATTTCCAATACAATATCACATACTAAAATGTGTTTTTATTTCTACAGATTTCTAAGTAGACATTATTTTCTCACTTATATTCTATCCTCTTTAAACTTATATTTGCTTTTCCTGTATATGTACTTTTGACTTCATTTACCTTCACAATATTAAATTTTAAATTTATCAATTTTTCCAATAAGTACAACATTCTATCTCGTTAACACATCCTTCACTGAACTTATTCTGCAAATTGAACATACTTTTTTGAAGAAAATTTGCTTCAACTATTGCTACTCTACTATTCAATGCATAAACTCAAACATTTCACATATATAAACAAGTCAAGCTGCTTCATTATCAATAAAAATCCATTTTATAACAATAAGCAAGCAATGCAGAAAGCAAGAGAACATTACAAACTTAAAATTGTATGATAATTCCTAAATTAATAATTTAGTTATTTGTGCCTAAATACACTACACATTATATAGATTGCACTGCTGAATGTCCTAAAGAGATTATACTGTACTACACTTAGTAATCATTAATATCCATGAGAAAATTACCAGTGAACATAATACCATTGAAAGTTGAAGGATAATATTCCTGATAAAAGCATGAATAAATCCCTATACAGTATATCACTATGTAGAGAGGAATAAAAAAAATATATAATGCCAGAGTAGCAACTGGGCATGAGTTGGCTTGATAGTCAGCAAGTATTAAGAGCATTGTTGTGAGTGGTTAACTGCCTCTGAGCCGCACATAACATGGAAACACAAAGAAAATATGCATAATTAAAAGTTCCTTTCATTTTACCTCCAAATAAGATACTCAATTGTAATCTTCCTTCTTAGCTCACTATAGCTTAATACTATCTAAAATATGCCTCATAATTTAGTTCCATCAAATGCATATAAATCATACAATTTTTTTCAATAATATAGAAAGAGATAATAATGTATCGACATTTATGGTATTAAATGTGCATGATAAATAGAGGGATGTGTATATAGTGTCCCATATACAGTATAGACACCCCTACTCCTATTGAGTACATTTAATACCTTAAATCTCAATATCACATCTCACTCTCTGTGATAAGTTAGTACAAAGCAATAAATACAATAAATACAGTTTACAAAGTAGTGTACAGTATACAAAGAGCACAACATGCTTCCAAGTTCACAACTACTTGCTAACTACCAGTAATGGTAACATATACTGTACATCATTTTTACGAGATCATATAATCAAGAAATCTAAGTTCATCTCAAATTACATGAAATGACTTAAATGTCTATTCATAAAGGTGATTTACAAAAAATAACAACAAATTATGAGGAACAGATTTAAAAGGATAATATATACAGTGTTTTATAAACATTAATGTTCGAAACCCACAATTTTAAGAAGCATTTGTTCTTTAACAGAATTTTTTGAAGTGTTCAAGATATGACACTCACCACGCATCCTTCAGTCAACCCTCGCTGGTATTTAATTATGATTTAGGTTTTCATCTTATGCCATCACTAAACATAAACATGTAGTAAACTGTCAAAACCTCCAATATGAGATGTTCCTCAAGTGGAAAAATGTCAAAAAGAAATGTTAACTAGGTGATAAACTCAGCCATGCACCTCACATAGTCAGGCCCTCATTTTCACACTCTAATAAGATTAGGAAAACTTCTTGTAATTCATTATCATACATTTTTACCTTTCATTGCATATATTAACATTTTCTTGGATGAAGTTCATTAACACTTTCTTGCTGAAAATGTTCCCATTCTGCACTAATCTTTTAACACATAATCTCATGCATTACTCATTAATGATAATACAAAAAACATACAAATACTGAACAATAATATGATTAATTGTTGAACAAAAATAATGAATATGTGGTAATTACAGTATAATGATTTATAAAATTTTAGGTAGCATTTAATTGCATTGAACAATAGAGTACAATATTTACTTCTTGACCACTGCCTAGTTCCCGTGGCGGGAACAGACAGCTCGTGACTTGTGTAGTTTTATACATACTGTACTCTACTATACTAAGACTAACAATACTGTGAAAATAAAACTGGTTATTAAACAGTTAACCAATATAGGTTTTACATCATAAAACTGATGACATACGTTTATTACAATACAGTATGGGATGGAACTAGTAATTACTGCAGGACTGGATATCACCTCTAAAAGAACACACAATCATGAACACAGAGGTTTGAACCAGCATACCCCCATCAACTACTAACCTACAGATTCAATACTCAATCATATACCATAATATAAAGTATTCAGATTACAGAGCAATATAACAGCATTTTTGTAATTGAAGAAATTTACAGTATGCTCAAATATAACAAGTGTCTATACTCAGCCATGTCATGACTTTGCAAGAAACCCCTCTCTAGTTGTGTACTTCAGCATACTAAGTCATGGTCCAATTGTTAACCATATCCAGTCCTGCAATATATCCTTCTTAACTATCATAACGTTACCACCCACCTTCCGTCCCAATGCCCCTGACTCATCCCCAACATGAGGCAAATTAACTACACACTAGCACAAAGAACATGGATGATTAAATGAACTTGGCAAAACGATATATTTTTGCATGTTTACTCTGAACACGGCTTTACTTATTATGTACACTGGTACATCAGTATCAGGGGGCAGAAAACCTGTTAAGACTTATCAAGGTATTGTGCCTCTAGTTATCTAATTCATTAAGCCAACACATACTAAGAGTCTGAGGTAATGACTACATTAAATAAATTGTATTTGTATTCAATGAGTTGCATTTATTGTTAACAGTTAGCTACTACATAACAGTTAAATTAAGTACTGTATTTGCTTACTGTATATTCATAACATAAATACAAATTATAAATGTATTTATGTATTATATGCCATAAATAAACACATTTTATCACAAGGAACTGTAAACTGATGCATTAATGACTAAAGTTTACAGCATACAAAGCACTTAGCAGATATCTATAATGTTTCAATGTGGTATTAGAACCTTAATTCAAACCTTATAATGGGTGGCATGGTATGATCCTCAAATATGTCCCAAACAAATATACTTAAGATGCCTGATCTTCAACTACTGACTTCTACACTAGTTCTGTTCTTGATGTAACAATGTTTACTAATCAATGCAGTACTGTACACATATTGCCTCCTTCCATCAAAATATATTTTTAATGGAAACACTTCTCTATGTTGAATAAGCTGCAAATATTTTCTGCATTTTGAATTTTCTATAATTTACTTTTGAATAGAGTAATTATTGTTATAACTTGTATTATAAAGAAACACTACCTCCTATCAATGCAACAGTACATTATGTATTTTTTGTTATACATGGTACTGTAATACAGTATAACTTAAAGTTAGCAAAACTACAGTATATTTACTGCATTACTATCGTATGTAAATTGCAAGATATACACGACTCAGCTGTTCTGTGTACTCACAATATCCAGGTACAGATCATGAACTAGGCTTGATGACTTCATGGTCAGGCTCATCTGGTTTTCGAAACTTGAGCAGGAAACTCGAGGTTTTCTCGTAGACAACAAAAGTTAGGGCGGTTGCAGGAACAACTCTCACAAGATTTGGTACAAGGCCTTTGTAATATCCCAAGACACCATGTTGCCTGAAAAATTAATGTTCTTGTAAATAAATAAAAATTCAAGAGTTATATTATATTTAATAGTAAATTGTGATGGGAAAAGTTAAAAGTACCAGTACAGTAATATGATTTTCATTTTGCTTTAAACAGTAATAGAACCTAAGAATTGACCATGTGAAAACTCTTGATTAAGTTCTCTTACTATTTCAAGCAAAATTAAAATAATTTAAGCTGGATGGTAGAGCGACGGCCTTGCTTCATGCAGGTCGACATTCAGTCCCCGACTGTCCAAGTGGTTGGGCACTATCCCTTTCCCTCCGACTCATCCCAAATCCTTATCCCAATCCCTTCCAAGTGTTATTATAAACCCTTTCTCCTGATAGTTTCCTTCCCCTGCTTGGTTAAAATCACTACCAGCCTGTTTCCCATTTTCATAGGGTAGGAATGCTAAATCTTAGAAAAGAGAAATGTAGAGAAAGGAGGTTTAAGAAACTCATCTCTTCTCCATATTTTTTTCACATTAACCAATATTACTTCAAAACAACACTAGCAAATCATGCATCCATTTCTTGCACACAGGTCACACTTGGTACATGCTTCCTCACTATCACCATGTCTGTCCATTTTCTTGACCTGCTTACTTTTTAATTCACTTAATTGCACACACATTATTTATTCACTCAATATAGCTAGTCTTTAACCTTACTATTCACCGACTTACACTCACGTGTCTTTCATATACTCAAGCTAATACCATGAGTGATTTTGGATCATAAATTTTTACCACTCCATCTCTTGATCTTTAACAGTTATGAAACAGTGTCTTATATCTGTATTAAAGACTGCACTAACACAGTCATGCCGCCTTCTTGTAACATTCTCCAAGACTTTTCTTCCCGGACTTACTCTATCCATAACTTATTTTGTAAATTCCAGGTAACAGGTATTCAAGTAATTATTAAAAAGAGGACATCAAGTTAGGAAGACTATTTAGAACTGAGTTGCAGGATATTCATAAGTCCTAAATATCACCCAGGATTCCAATAGGAGAGCAGACACGCATTCAACAAGGATTTTATCATGACACATTGGGAATGCAAAACTTACAATCCTTAAAATCAGAAAATTCTACAAGGAAGGAAGTGATTGATAGCAGAACAATGCAGTTTTGAGGATAGGGTGTACATCTCTTTATCCATTCAGTACCCAGGAGTTAATTTTGTTTGGCTATGTAATTTAGCAGAGATGTTTTCTACCTACTGTACAGTACTTCAATGACAGGAGGAAGGCCACAATTAATAGTACTGTATGTAGCTATTAATTGTAGCTAACATGTAAGAAATTTGCTTCTAGGAGACTGGACAGGCATTAACACTTCTTTGGCAGTAGCATCTGCTAGATCATTGAAGGCAACACCAATCTGCCAGTGAACTCCACAAAAGTTTGTCATATCTGCTAAAAGACAGGCATAACCAATTTTGGAGATCTATCCCCACTAGATGAGAAGGAATAAAACAGTCCGTGGTAATAGAAACATCAAGTTATCTATAACAAAATCATAGGCACATGAAAGGCAAGTCTCAGACCATACAAAATTCACAAACATCCTCGGGAAAAATATTTGATTCCCGGAGAAGCCGTCACAAAGGTTTTATCTGGTAAACTTGTGGAAAAGCTGACTCGATCATCAGAACTTAACCATCTATAAAAATAAAGCAATATATATAGTGTAAATGGCAGTGAATTTGTTCAAATAAAAGATGTTTCAGGATGAAAGGGTGTAAGCCTTCACTGTACATGTTGAGACAGGTGTCATAAATAAACCTGAACGGTTCTGGTTTAGGATGAACTGTTCCATTACACAATGGCACAGGACCTGGGGATGACAGCATTGCTACCAACACAATGCAGAGCAGTTTGGGCTGTGTAAGTGGACTTGAGATTACGAGGCTCACCACAAATCCGGCAAAGACCATTTTGCCCCTGCAAACTCTAGCATCATGACCAAATTTTCAACAAGTACTGAACTAACATTAGGATAAGTAATCATCAAATGAAGACACCAAGGTGGTTAAACTATGTAACATCATCTGTATAAGGGTAAATATATGCCAATTTACACACTGTGCAAAGATCCCCTTTAACAATTAGCCATGAGTCTACAAATTCATGATCACTTCACTTCTTTGATGCACTGGAATAATATTCATGAGAATTTAACTTTTCCCTAAAGTTAATCCCGAGTGTGAATGTCTGGTGGGAATTAGCAACTACCTAAATAAGGTGTGCCCAGTATTTATATTCGAGATGCTGGCAATTAGTTGTTCAATATGTAATCCGTCTTCAAAACAACACTAATTGTATGCATCATTCACCCAGCTTACTAAATAACTTTACACAACTCCCAAATGATGACATTTGAGCATTTCAAAAATACCTTTAAAAATGCACTGTATAAAATAGTTCACACTATGTAACCAAAGGGTTAAGGTCCAGCCTGGACATTGTCATTCTTTGTAAGGTGGGTGAAGCAGACGACATGTACAAGATCTCTATTATATGAGTAAATTAGTTAAATGTTACCGTATCCAGGAGAATGGGTGCAAAAGCAATTATCAAATGGCCCCAAGCCTAGCTACTTGTTGGAGATTTCGAGGATCAATGTTCCCACAACCCAGATTCTGACCAGGCCTCCTGGTTGTTGGTCTGATCAAGCAGTCTGTTCGATGCAGCTGCTCAGAGCCTTGTTGATCAGGTATTCTTTTAAGGTGACTAAATAGCCCGGAAGACTACTTAGCACAGTTAGTTTAAAAAGTACTATTTCATTTGGGATTCCAACACGAGAGGAAAAAGGCACAGGACATATGATGTTAAAGGTATCAGATACAACAAGGACAAGCAACTCAAAAGACGACATTGGGAAAAGCAGAATTTTTGACATCCTGATAATCAGGACATTCTATGAGGTGAGAGAATGTTTATGGAACAGTGCAGTTCCGACAGCAAGGTGCACATTTGTTCAAAAACGTGTCTGCGAGTTAATTTTGTCCGATTAATATGTAACCTAGCCAGAGGTCTCCCTTTCCCACTTTTTGTTTTGAGGAATTGTGGTAATATAGAATTACTGTATCAGTATTATCTTCACTCCTCAATCAGTTGTCTACCAGGCATGCCTACTTATTCTCCAAAACTTGCTTGTTGAAAGGACATTATCTTGGTTTAAAATTCCTCTAGAAAAAAATCCACAGGAATAATAAGAAAAGGAGGGGTGGGAGTCATTGACACCCTCAAGATGACATGAAAGGTAGCCCTCAAGTAATTTCAGGATTACCTAACGCTTCCTTCCATTAGTGCTTGCTAAATTGAGCTAAATTAATTCTTAAAAATGGTTAAACTACAACTTTTCTCTCCTATGCCTTTACATCATTATTATTCATTACTTCGTATACTGCATATAGCTTAACACTTTGGCGTCGTGATGATGTTCACGCAGTCATTAAAACAATACATACAGTTTGGGTAATGACATCAATGCTGGAATCAATTAATTTTTGTTTATTCTTATTAGTGAGAATAAACATCGAGTGAGTTTAACATTGGGTTGTGTGCTCACAGGCAACGCCCGGCCTACCTTGCTGTGTGGTGCGGGTGACCTGCTGGGCCAAGCAAGATAACAGTATTTCTGCAGCCAGTAGCGTCCGTAAATTTCCATGTCCTAACATGGGTTATTTCCAGTCTTATTTTAAGCAACTGTAAATCAAACTTTATGCAAGAGATTGTGTTACACCGTTATTTAAAAGTATGACCATTCATATATTCAAGAATTTATAACAATATTCAGTATCTATAGGAGAAATGCAAGAGCTGCAAATGATAACTCTCTCCAGCATCTCGGTTGTTCCTAAATTAAACGACACATACCAATGAATTGCAACAATGCAAATGTGAGCAATTAAAGTAGATTCCACCCCAAAATTATGATGGTAATAGTTGCAGTATCCCTCAAAAACAAATGTATATACCATCTCCAGCCATATACATTACAGTATTATAGTTTAGTTTAAGGATATAGTATTTCCCTTTCCATTGCATCTTTAACTTTCATTTACATCACCTGGCAATTATCTTTAATCATTCCAAGCAAATAAAGTAAATAAATTAAACTTCAAATGCAATGTTTTTAATACCACACACGACTTTCAGAGGCCTAGTAATAGAAGCGAAAACTTAATTTTTAATGTTTTCAAGAAAAAAATCACAGTACCTTGAAACACTGTCAAATATATGTAAAAACCTTCAATCTTACCTTGGGCAGATCTTTGTGAACAGGAGACGGCATAATATATTGGGATAGAGAAACTCCAAATACTTATGACTTTTTATATTTCATTATAAAATGTCATTGCTGAAATAATTGCAACAACCGTGTCCATAAACAGGTGACAGATACCTCTCAAGTTAGCAAGTATTTGCTCTAGACACCTAGGGGAAATGTGAGGAATATACAAAACCATAGATTATTTTAAAAGAGGTAGTAAGAACGAGTCTGGCTGGAACCACCCAATCTCCCACATGTGACCTCTGGTGACAATCAATCTTATGGGAATATATTGTCAATATATATATATAATGAAATAACTATGGCAGTTGTACACACACTGAATAAATAAATAAAATCTAACTAAAGCTTATCTTGAGTAAACTGGTCAGATAATATGCAAACTTTCTGCCACGGGCTCATTAAATAATATATTACTGAAGTTGGTATAGCCAATCAGCTATTTTTGGACAAGGTTTAAGTTAGCTAGGAAAAGACATCTCAATATATCACAGCTGTCCCCTTCTCACAAGGACCTTCATTAACTAAGAGTAGTAACACTAGCAAACATTGTTACCTAAAAATGCAACATATCTGCACTTATGATCAAAAGTGAGGCTGCCAAAGAAACACAGCACTTAAATAACAAGTATTCCCGAGGCTGAAATGAGTGGGAAAACAATGAAAATTAAACAGTATATGGCCATCAACAATGTTTTGCACTCTACTCAAGACTCAAAATATTCCGAGCCTAAAAAACAACGTGTAACATTAAAATGGCACCACCTGTGTCAGGCTTCACACACAGTCTATAGTCAATCAATAATATTAAGCTATGTAAATTATCAGAATGACATGCTAACTGATAGCTACAGATGTATGTGGACATCATCAGGCCCATATATTAATCACTTCCATTTACTTAAGATAAAACAAAGCTAAAATAAGTACAATAAAGTATTCTTCTATCACTGACATTTATTACATACCACATCCAATTCAAACAAGACTGGACTGACAAATACTGAAATGCAAACCTAAATTCCATCAGACTGTATGAAAACACCTTTGACTAGAGTTGGAATTAATATCTACACAACATTTGCCTGACAGGAATTATAATTAATTATAAAAAAAAATCATTAATGCTTTGTCCTACTGTGGAATACTGTTTTCTGCACCTCTCTTTACTTAGGAAATGTATACATCAAAATCACAAGAAAAATAAATGCAATACAAGTGAGAGTGCACAATGTTTGTTCTCCCGAGTGGAACAATTTCTATAAATTGATGATGGATTAATATATTTATTTCTAATCTCAAAATATTCCACTGCATGAGATCCATAAAAAAGTGCTCATTCTTATAGATTTCCAAACAAAAGAATGACAATACAACAAATATCACGCATGCACATTCTCAAAAATCTAATGTATACTGAACTACACTGATACACTGTGGCAACTTCAACAATGACACTTTCAGTAATATAATGTAAAAACTAACTCGTTGAGAGGCTGCATGCTCATATCACGTGAACATGAATCACATTTAGCTGTCACCACTGGAATAAAACTGGCCAGCAGTTTCTATGGCAATATTACCTTCTGTAGTGATTTAGCTCAAAAGCTAATTTTCATTGTTATGTTACACAGCAACTTAATGAATACTGATATACAGTACTTATAAAATATTTAAAAATAGGCAAATTTAATCACTAAAATTACAAGTAACAAATTTAATTAAAAGAAGATACTGCATTATGAAATCCTCTAGTGAATGCCAAATACTTAAGACACAACCATGTGCAAAGCAGTCGTGGGTGTTAAAAGATGGATGGAATTGTGCAGATACAAAATATCTGGTATATGCCAAACATGCAGAACAGCAAATTATCACTTCCAACTTCAAGCCGACACCCATTCTAAACCAGTGGTGTTACTGACTGACATCTTCAATAACAAGCTGACATACCTATGTTTAAACGTGCGCAGATTTGATCAAGAATGGCATGAACAGTACTAATGGGCATCAGCAAAAGTTAATATGATAAAATTGGCCCCTTGGTTAAATTCCACTTGCACGACGTGGCACCATATTTAACAGTGAGGACAGTAGCTCATGATCAGCTGTTAATCTTTGCCCCACTATACCAACTTTGCATCTAAAATACTGTATACATTTATGTGCAGACGATGAGTCACAATAACGTGGCTGAAGATGTGATGACCAAACCCCACACCAACACATGAAGAAACGACGACATTCCAGTCCGTCGTGGACCATCACATATGACTTGATAATGGCCCAGGACGGACCAAAATGTTGTAGTTTCTTTATCTCCAGTGTGTTGTTTGGTCATTATACATTTATATAGTAAAAGGGCGGGAAGAGGAATGATATTTGTTTTCACATGATATAACAAGTAAGAATAGCTAAAAAATTATTTCATAAAATAAACCTTCGGCAGGAAAGTATACTGATATCCAATTGCAAAACTCAAATGGCTACTTATGAGATTACTATGGCAATACTGGCCCATTGAGCTTTTTGGCAACTTAAGCAAAATAATTCCTTTTCTAATAACTTTCATTAAAAATATATAAAAAACAAACGAGTTAACTTTATTTATCTATACTTTATTTAAATATTATAGCACCCAAAACACCAACCCAGGAAACCCAAGAATAAAATGCATTTAATGTGAACTTATGCATAACTAGCTCAAGTAAGTACTGGAACACAGCAAACCAATTAAATGCAGCTACCACACAAATTGGCTGCAGGTACCATGCCTCTATCAAACTTAGCTAGCAAATAGTGTAACCTTGCTTGGGATCACCAGGTGTGTAAAGGTCCAAGTGCCTCGATGCTCATCGATTTGCCCAGGGCAAATAAAATTTAATTTAAATTTAAAAAGATTCCTAACTGGTCAATATTATTTCCTTAAATTTGTAGGTCTTGCATTTTCCGTTTGCATTCTTTAATGCATGATTATTATTTCCTTAAATTTGTAGGTCTTGCATTTTTCGTTTGCATTCTTTAATGCATGAATATTATTTCCTTAAATTTGTAGGTCTTGCATTTTTTGTTTGCATTCTTTAATGCATAATGGTAAGGTCAAGTATTCCTCAAGACACTGAAGCAATACTGGTATATTATTTAACTTGCATGAAATACAGCTGTCACTGATCTACAGTACGTATGACACCAACCAATCACCAATTACAGTAATTACCATGAAATATGGATAATGTGAGAATTATATTTATCCACCCACTCATTGGACAGATTTGTATTATCTTAACTGAAAGGGTGAAATATTTATTCAGCATAAAAAATTATGCTTTCAAGAGCTACCTGCCACAGTTTCATATATAAGAAATACCAGACATATGTTGGGCATCACATGAACAAGATAGGGAGACATTCCTCGGTAGAATCCAACAATTCCTTCGTACCTCCACGTTTCACGAACACAATGACGCAAGTTGTCATAATGAGCATGCTGATCCTGCATACGGGCCCGCAGCACTTGGTAAGGATAGGTTGTAACAGCTGCAAACAGTTTGGAAAGTGATGCGAAGGCCAAGTATTCAGCAGTTGTCTGGAATGAAACGGAATGTAAATAAAACACTGCTATAAATAGAAAAATTGCATACATTCTCTTTAACTTCATATCCAGAAGAATGAGTTTCAGCATAAAATCTTTACTCACCAACTTGGCATCAATAGGGAGATTGCGATACTTGTTGTACTTTGTCTTCATTTCTTCATAGGCCATAAATTGGAGTGCCCCATGTGAGACTCCAAATATACCAGGAACAAACCCCTGGAAATACAAGAACCAATTACACACAGTTTCATCTTATCAAGATGCTTGAATAAAGAGTATCGCCCCAAAGAGCAAAGGTAGGTTCAAATGACTGTGCAAATGTGAGGATTAACTTGGGAGCAGAATACACAAGTTTTTAAAAGGAAAGTTCAGTGTGTTAGGTTTGTGCAAAATAAAAGCAAATAATGATCATGGAATGATAACAAATGGAAGTGATAGAAAATGAAAAAAAGGAGGTGTGTATCTTTTAATGAATAAAGATGGGTATAGGACAATAAAAAGTTAATACGGTTTAAGATGATTGTGTATAAAATTTCAAGCTAGAAAAAGTAGTGTCTTTTGTTATTACACACACACCATGTACATGATCATTACATGACCCATAATGCAAAGGAGTATGGGTGGTCTAAATGTTAAAATGGGAATATACCCGATGAATGAGATAATGGGTCGCACGCAAGTCTCTCCCAGAAATGACTGACAATGGCTGAATATTAAAGGATTTATTATATAAATGTTTGGTAAATACTTTAAACATAAGGATGCACAAATATAATGTACAAGGTACAGGACAAATGGATGAAGTGGTGCTGGTGGATATTTGATCAACCAATGTACAACACATTTGAAAATAGAAATGAGAGATCCTGAAACTGCAAGTGTACACAACGCACCTTGTAGAGTCCTCTGACGCCTTCATATTTGTAGGTCTTGACGAAAGCGTCCACCATGCCATTGTACCTATGTGACTCCTGTAACACCTTTCCTGTAGCTCCATCTGAATACTGCAGGCACAACCTGAAGCAGAATTTTTTTATTAATCCCTGACTAAACCACCATCCCCAGAATATAGGGGACAATGGACAATAGTACATTTAAAATTTTCTAAATTATCCAAGTAACATTTCAGTCACAAAATTTGTTATACAGAACAAAACTGTAGCACTTATGATTTAGTCCTGATGGACTTATGAACTGTAGGAATTTGATTTAGTTTAACAAACAGTACATATGTTGGAGGCAAATTTACTTCACCCATATATTATATCATCAATAAGATGAAATATTTGTTATGTAATTTGTATCATCCAGTGTGTGAATGTCATCTTCACACTAGATAAAAACATACCTTGTTTTAACTACCCAGATGGGGTTGGTCATGACAAGTGTGAGGACACCAGCTTCTGCTGCTGCCACCATGTGCAGTCCTGGCCCAATATTAACTTTGCTGTTCCCACTTTGAAACCAGGACTTTATTGTGTTGTAACTGGAATAAGAAAAAAATATATATAAATTTTAAGCAAAACAATAATAATGTACAGTATAGAATAGTATTGTATACACAACCACAATATAAAATTTGTGCACCATGAGGGGCAACTACTATATTTATCTGGAATTACAGTGCACTAAAATTGGTAAACATGAATATAACATATATATTGAATGTAAGAAATGCCAGTTAGGTAACCTGGTAGGTAGTTGGCTATTTAAAAACCTGTAGTTAATAATAGTGACAAAGTACAGCAAACATGGCACGGTATACATAGTAAATACTGCACTGTACTGTATACCATATTTTACTAGGCAGTGAAAGCCTATGGAGCGTATATGCACTTACAACAAGCAAACTTTGGATACTTGGCAATACATTAAATATTTTGAAATTTCTTGAATATTTGAGGTATTCTTTAAATTCGTATTGTTTCATATTCAATTATACAGTAATATAGATTAAAAGTATAGTTTCAATTAGTTTACATTTGGTCAGATTTAAATAAGCAGTCAGTGCAAATGCCTTTATACTAAAAAAAAATGCAGCTACATGCTCACTTTCAAGTCAAATTAGAAAAAAATATTATTCATGCATCCAAGTTGCCCAACAAGCTGCAAAAACCTTGTAGAGATTTAATATACTGTAATACAGGTGTAAAATTTATATAGTATACAGGCCTATAAATAGACGATCTTGAACTCTAGATAAGTTCTGAGTCTCTACAGAAAAGCTATGCATATCCCCAAGTGTAGGCAAGTGTGCTCAATGTGTACTGGGGCATGTTGACGGTGGTGTCAGACAGGTACTGTAGCTTGTATTTAGACTTATTGAGGTCCCCATAGACCAGTTACAAACCTACTCCAGGATGCAACCCACAACAATTATCTAACTGCTGGGTAGGTACTTACTGCTACATGAAAAGGCATCAGGTGAAAGGATACGTGCCAAACCGTTTCTGTCCTGCCCAGGGATTGAGCCCTAGTTCCTCTGCTTTGAGTTGATGCAAACCACTATGTTATAAAAACCTTGCCATTTAAAAGTAACTAGTCATGTAATTCTGAACGACAAATAGCAACTTCCACATAATGAACTAGCAGCCCATCCTGAACTGGTGTACAAACTTTTCCCAGTCTCGACCAAAATTAATTTTAAAACTGCATAGTCATTTCAGTGCTAATAATTCCTGACAGTTTGAAGAGTAGTGTCTACCATTCCGTGTACTGTACTGTACTTTGTGATTCTATACATTTTTCCAGACATTAGTAATTTTCAAAGACCAACGCTAATAATGCTATGTGTTGTGTTACATGAGATAAGCAATAGACCTACACATATTACTATTCAACAATTTAAAATGTGCCAGCAGGCCTACTGTAGAGAGTAAGAGCAGAAGGGGGGAGCGGCCACGGTGGGCTGACCCTTCAGTTAACTGGTGGGATCCAGTGCGGCCCAGCTGACGGCATCCCCCGTCCTGAGACGGCTGCCTCGGGGCAACTAACCCAGCCACACACACACATACACACAAAGGTAGAATACCTTTGGTCAAATGGAAGCACAATAAATGTAACATCACACGTTTGTGTGAAAAAAAAACAGGCTATCGAGTATATTTATGCAGAATATTGGAATCTTTGAGGCGTGCTACTCTGGTAGCAAGTGACCACACGCGGTATTAATTAGGCCAGCATCAGGGACTAGGGGTTGGGTGCGAGCGAACCCCTATATTGTTTGGACTTAACAGACATCTAGTTCACCAAAATATAAAATGCTAATTAATAATCATAAATGTAGTTCCGGAATTATGATAGTACTGCTCAAACATTTATTATTATAAGGCATGCAAATTAAACATTATATAAAGTTCCTCAAATGAACAAATCTCTCAAGTCATGTCGAGCTTGCTAGTAAGGCGGACAAGATTCTGCCATCTTTGAAGCGGCGTGAGGTGCTTCACCCTCACCTTGTGACAACACGGCAGGAGGCCAGAAATGCCTGACATAGCAACCACGTGAGGCGCGGGATGACATGATGGCAGGCAGGGAACGGCCAACACGCCACTCAGTCATCATATTACTACGCAAAATTCGCCTAGCATCAGCAATAATTCTAAGATGCGTAAAACTGCGTAAGATAAATAACGAATCGTCTACACAATCTTAAAATTTCAAAGATAAACCATCAAAGCTAGAATTAAAATTTAATTCAAGCCAACTACCCACAATGACGTGTAAGAATTGTTACATAAATGTCTACTAGATTTAACAGTTGGTTTACTAGCTGAGACAAGAAACAGGTTAGGCTTATAGTTCCACTGTAGTTATTAGTAGTTCCACTGAATACATAGAAACCCTTACTATCCGATTTTAAAGATTCTCTGTGTACAGGATTATTCAGGCTGAAACTCAACAGTTGCTTAACTCCCAATTACCGTATATATTTACAGTTAAGTGAACAATAGCATCAGATGAAAGGAAATATTCGTTGAAGATTAAACCACACCAAAAAATGAGACGACGACGACGACGTTTCAACGCCAAATTTAACTGCCCTAATGCTGACGTCACAATATGCGTGTAATATGTAGTTTAATCTATCAAACAAGATCACAGGACAGACCTGTGAGCTACAACACATTTATTTGGCTTCTTACTCCCCCCCCCCACTCATCCCACAACAACAAAAATAAATACGTCCAAGTGGCACACTATTACAGGCCAGACCTAACTGCTTAACTTGACAATTCAGGCGAACAAAAGGCAGATCCTTCACCATACCCACCGACAACAATCACCGAACATAAGGGTTCATTCAGGACAAGTAGTTCCACTGAATACATAGAAACCCTTACTATCCGATTTTAAAGATTCTGTGCACAGGATTATTCAAGCATCTATTGAATAGCCAAATCAAGGGTTAGTGTCCAGAACAATCTTTACAGACCTAGCATTTTTTTCCAATTTCGTGTTGAGCTAAGGTACTCAACTGGGACTTTTTTTTCGAAATAATTCAAAGTGAATTAATATTGTACAAAACAAAATCCTTAAGTTAAACGCTAACAATAAATTTAATAAGTAACAATAAAATTTCTTTTGTTTAGTAATAAATTGTAAGCATTTAGCTTGTTAACATGAAAGGTGTCCACTGTGCTTTGACCGTAAAGCAGCTTACTAACCTATCGATACCGATGCATATCTGTCTTAATTCTACGACGAGTACATTTTCATTACTTATATTTTCACTAAACAAGAGTGATGCTTCAGACATTTAAAATGACCTGGTTGGGGCAGCCAGTTTGTAAAATATCGACCAGCCAGCAACTGGCTTATAAGTCGTACCATACAGCTGACCTTCGCAATGACTCGCATATAATAATTTGACGCCTAACCGACCCTGGTCCAAGAGTTGTAAACATCATAATACCCTCGTGAAGACATTTTTACGTGAAAAATTGTTGATATACTGCAAAAGTGAACTAAATGCTAGACGGAGATTTCGTCACATGGAACTAAAGATAACTACAAATAGTTTGTTAAGACAAGGGGTAAGCAAGAGAAGGGCGTGTTGGTAGTCAAAACAACTGTTCAAATCACTTGGGACCAAGAGGATGACGATAAGGTAAAGGACCCCACGAGGCTGGACAAGGTGACAAGTGAAGTGCACTCAAGGGCACAGAGCCTTTTCATCAGGACTGCAAACTAGCAGCCGGCACGTTTGAGTGAAGAATGTGGCTGCACCGGCAATGGAAGAATTGTGAAAACGCCTTATACAAGTAAGCTTACACAAAGCAAGATGGGGCTGAGTAAATCTTATCACCCCTTTATCTACCACATACCGTAAAGATCACACACATTAAATACGAAGTCCAGCGATAAAAACCAGCCCAAGGGCGTTCAATTGCAAATCTTTCTCAGATGGAGGTTACCAGTCATAACTAACCACAATCGGCCCTTTGTTTGTTGTATTCAGTAACTTTACTTATGCATAACTTATCAAATGCAAGTTTTATATTGCAAGGACAGATTTGTTCAGGAGCACCGATATTTTCACATGGTAATCTTAATTTAACTACAACACATTTTGCCTCTTAGCACCCTTCAGTTGAAAATCATGTGCGTAAACAACACAGCTTATATTACGTAACAGTTTTGGGTTCTAATTCAGCTTTAACGGTGCAACGAAATAGGTGACATCCAATTGACTCATTTAACTATGTACAGTTCCTATCAGAAGACGAATAGGAAACCTGGCATTTAGAAAAATTGTGCGTCAAGTGGAAATTATACAAATAATAAAAGGAAGAGGAAGTGTTATTCCCGAAATCTATCAAAACTACTTACAACCTTGAGGCGTCTAAGCCTGTTGATAAAATTTAGTAAATTTTACGGTGTAGATACTTTCGTGTATGTATGTATATGTATTATATATATATATATATATATATATATATATATATATATATATATATATATCTGACCCCTTCCAAGTGCTATATAGTCGAAATGGCTTGGCGCTTTGCCCTGATATTCATTCACTCCGCGCGTAAGAGGGCGGGGGGAAGGGGAGGGGAAATGAGAGAGGGGAAGAGAAAGGGGATATGTATAAAGACAAATGAGTTCCATGACAGAACTTTGGTGAAAAAATCATAAATACACGAAATTTCATTGCACTATCAAATGTTCGAAAGGCAGGGCTAAGAGGCTGAAGCCCGACCTGCGAACATTTCTGCGCCAGCCAAAAGGATGAGGTCGTTGAACCTAGAACGAGCGCTTCCGTTACTAACACTTGTCATTTAATATTTATAGCTAGTTTTTTCGACACTTTAACTCGTAACAACAGCTGTTAACAATTTTAGACTAGACTGAAAGAACATGAACACTAAACTGCATAACTAGTTTACTCGAGATCATATACACATCCAAAATTATATATAAGACGTTATTAAAAAGGTTTGCCCAAGCATCCTGGGGCCCACATAGCAACAGGCCACAGAG